ACAGACGGCAAACTCTGGAAGTTGTTGTTTTGATTATCCTAAGTTTTTCTAGATATTTCTAATTACCCGGTACGTAGCTGGTTAACCCGGACCACTGTTCTTAGAAGGTATTTTTTTTACAAATAGACAACCAATGAACCTAACACAACAAGTTAGGTTGCGTTACATTATGTTGTTAGGTTAGGTTAAGTTAGGTTAGGTTAAATTTGTTTGGTTAGTTTTGGTTGTTGAGTAATGTGTTGCTGAACAAAAAATCTATGGTTGAACACTTGTAAAAATTTACCCTTAAATATTACTAATTAGACAATTATGGTTTCGTCAATAATCTCTGGCAATAAATACAGCTTTTATGACAACAATTGCACAGAGGAACGTCCATTTTGTTGGTCCCTGCCAACATGTTTCACCTCCTATTTTTTTTAATAAGTAAACTTATTGTCAAAGTTTACGAAAACCAACATGACATTGTGACAAACTCAAGTTAAGTTTACTGACCTGTTTATTTACGTTTACCAAGTTAATACAGTAGTGAGTGAGGGAACAATGGAGTCAATAACAACAGTAGCAGACAGCTACCCCAACTACCATTATTATTATTAATATAAATGATAGTAGGGTTTCTTACTTCTCTATAGCCTCAATATGAAGATATATTCTCTATATTCTGCAGATTTGTTACAGGTGCAGTATATTGGCAGGACGTGATGCTCCCTCAGTGGACCATAGAGCGGTGGCGGGGACTAGGACCACGGAACTACTTTTGAAATAACATTTTCTACTGCTGAAAAAAAACGAAAAATAATGAAACCTTCAGTTAAGGCAAATTTATTATTTATATGATGATTACGAAATATTTAGATTTATTTCATAAAATATATAAAAGCCATAATAAGCTATTAAGTAAGGAAATGGTAAGGTTATATATATTTCATGCAAAGTTGAATTTTCATTTTCTTTGGTATATTTTATGGGTAACTTTATAAACTCTTTAACATACCAGCCTTTTCAAAATAGTTTATTTGGTATATTTTTTAAATGAATTCCATCTAAATCCACAATATCTTGATTGCAAACCACGTGATTAATTTATTCGCTAAATAGTTACATTGTGGTTAATGTAAATTTCCTTGATATAAATGTACAGTATATATCAGGTGCCTACAAGAGAGCTCTGGCTCTCAACCGGCCCAGCCATGTTTATATTGTTATTATTATCGACTCTGTATCTGTGTTTTTCTGGCTAAATAAACTGTTTCAATCAATCAATCAATAAAAAAACTCAGTCTACACGTACACACACAATACATCGACCTCACTAACACTAACGTGATTGGATGACCACTGGTTATCATTCCCCCCAACATCATCACTGAAAAATTAATATCAGTCGTCACCCACTAACTTTATACCAGCGCCGTTGAATTAACATCAACCAACACCCCCCCCCCCCCAATGATGTGTGTATCGTGCCTCAGGACAGTGTACTGGGACCTTTGTTTATTTGTTTCAGGGATATTAAGAACCAAACGAATTGTGAAGAGCTACAGGAAGATCTCTGTCGGCTAATATAGTATAAAGTTAACCTAACATAACCTCAATCAAACCTTAATTTAAAATTATACGTAGCATTTTGAAAACTACTATGGTATTCGGGTGCTGCATGGCGGTCCAGTGGATACACCTGTCACTTTTTGTAAAAATCTATATTTGGATAGTGAATGATTGATAGAATGGGCATATAGAACAAAATTTAAACGTAGAGCTGCAATAAATAATTCTGGGATAAAATTTACACTGAGGAGGTGGTTGAATAAAGTCAGGACTTATGACTTAGTTGGAGGGAGTGTTGTGGCTGATAGCGGCCTGCCAGTGAGCCTGACCAGCATAATATGTAAAGTACTTGAGAGTATTATCAGAGATGCCGCAATGGAACATCTAATACGAAACAACCTTGTAAAAGATTGCGAACACGGTTTTATGCCGGGGCGCTCCTGCTTAACACAATTGCTCAAGGTATTGGATATTTGGACCCATATTCTGGAACGGGGTGGTAATATCGACAATATTTACCTAGATTTTGCCAAGGCTTTCGACAGTGTACCCCACGAAAGGCTTAAAATCAAACTGGAAGGGTACGGAATTCGGGGAAATGTCCTAGCGTGGATAGAAGACTTTCTACATGACCGCAAGCAGTGTGTGGTGATTAATGGTACGAAATCGTCATCTGTACCTGTCACAAGTGGGGTACCACAGGGCAGTGTATTGGGCCCACTGTTGTTTGTTTGTTTCATAAATGACATGCCTGACGTTGTACACTCCTCCATACAAATGTTTGCCGATGACGCCAAGTTATTTCGGGAAATTAAAAACCAAGCGGACTGTGAAGAGCTGCAGAAGGATCTCTGTGGGCTCCAGGAATGGTCGAAGAAATGGCTGCTGAGATTCAATGTCACGAAGTGTAAGAGGATGCACCTGGGGCGTACCAACGGTAAGGAGGCGTATCATATGTCCCAACGGGATGAAGAAACTGCGCTAGTTGAGACTGTGTGTGAGAAGGACCTAGGTGTGTATGTTGACAATGAGCTGAAGTTCTCGGGCCATTGTGAGAAGGTAAATCAAGCAAATAAATTATTGGGTCTTATAAGAAGGTCGTTCAGATATCTAGACGGTCCGTCCCTCGTAACGATCTTCAGGAGTGAAGTGCTTCCCCATCTGGAGTACTGTCACCCCATCTGGTCCCCGAGATATGCTAGGGACTGTCAGTTGGTTGAAAATGTTCAAAGGAGGGCCACCAGACTGGTGCCTGCACTTCGGCACCTCAGCTACCCTGAGAGATTGGAGCGCCTGAACTTGCCTAGCTTATACTACAGACGGGCAAGGGGGGACCTAGTTGAAGTGTATAAGCTTCTCAGGGGGCACTACTCAGTTGAGTGTCCTTACTTGGAGTTGGCGGACGCTCGCCCCTCAAGGGGTCACAGCTCAAGATTGAAGAAGCCGCAAATCCAGAAAACCGTGAGGGCAAACTTTTTTGGAGTGAGGGTTGTAAACTCTTGGAACAATCTACCAGAGATTGTTGTGACGGCACCGAGTGTGAGCTCTTTCAAGACAAGACTTGACCAACACTGGAGCGGGTTCAGGTACATTCAGGAGCCGGTGCATGCCCAGTATTTGCCAACAGTGCGTGACAGAGACGTGACCTATCGCCCGGGCGGCTAGCGAGCCGATCTTTTGGTGAAGAAGATAAATGAAAAGGAAAAGTAATCAGATACGTGACCAATCGCCCAAGCGGCTAACAAGCCGATCAGTGGCGAAGAGGATAAAAGTAAAAAAAAGTGAGATTACACTGCCTGATTAACAGCTGAAAGCTTATCGTGGGGGGGGGGGGTGATTTTGTTGTCAAATGTGCGAGTATTGTTGTGGTTTTCGGTGTCAATAAGTGACGGTGTGTTGTAATGTTATCATTGAGGGCTGCAAGATACCAAGGGATTACGTAACCCCCCAACACGCAACACTAACAGACTCATAAAGTACAGGAAAAACAAAATTGCAAAATCTGTGTATTTCTTTTAGTTTGGAGGTCCCTTATTATTATTATTGTTATTATTATTATTATTATTATTATTATTATTGTTATTATTATTATTATTATTATTATTATTATTATTATTATTATTATTATTATTATTATTATTGTTATTATTATTATTATTATTATTATTATTATTATTATTATTATTATTGTTATTATTATTATTATTATTATTATTATTATTATTATTATTATTATTATTATTATTATTATTGTTATTATTATTATTATTATTATTATTATTATTATTATTATTATTATTATTATTATTATTATTATTATTGTTATTATTATTATTATTATTATTACCGTTTGAAACTATTCTTTAATGCTGTTGTTATCAATAGCATGAATATCTGTTAATAAAAATGGTTACACCTCATGTTCGAGGCTGACCTGCCCCAGTGTCCCAGGACCACCAAGGCGTGAATTTGTTTTAGATGTGGCAGCTGTCGCCAGCACGTCAAGTTAACGAATCGAGGAATAATCCAAGAATGCCGGACAACTCGCCACTGCGTCAAGATGGTCTAGTACAAGGTCAATGACCTTGGTCTGGTGCTACTGTAGCGTGAGGTCTACAAGGACGTGACCTGACTTGGCCTTATATTTGGTTACGTTTGGTTAAGTATATTGTTTACTGAATAAATTATTTATCATGAAACTACAGTGTAAATATCTTGGCAGACCGCACACTATGGTAGCACCCCTCCAATATCCTATTAAAGTTTCTTAGTTTATCTTTGAGTTTCACCTGCAGCATGACGATAGACCTAGTCGTGTAAATATATTACAGCGGCAGGTCAGCCACCCACTACACACACCACCCTCTTTCGGTCATTATAGATCTCTCTCCCAAATGCCCACCTGAAGCAATTATTGCATTAAGGTGCTGTTAGCAACTTTCACCAGCAGCTAGAACCTGGACCTATGGGATGATAGCGGTATTCCGAGAGGTTCTAGTTGACTAATGGCAAGGCCTCTCAATTTTCAGTATCCCTGTCGACGCCACACACACTCCACCACTGCCTCACCGATGTCCCACTTTAATTTCATTTACTTTATCCTCTTCGGCACTGATCAGCCTGTTAGCCGCACCTGCCGACACTCCACAACTCCAGTGCTACCCTTCCTGTGTTATCCTATTCCTGACGTCATCCAAACAAATCATGTTAAGAAATGTTATATTGTACGAGTAATATGTCTTTATTACAGCACTGTATCTAGCCTTTATCACACTACTCTTGTTCAACCTCATCAGTGCCAGAGAGATTATACCGCTAAAAGCTAACCCTATTACAATAAACGGTTATCTCTGTTTATTCAAGGTCCAGGAACACTAGAGATAAACAGCTGTATCTCTCCCAGCCTCCTGTTATCTGCCACAAGTTGATAATTCATGATAACTGACAGTGGCACGCAGTAGTGCACAGGGTCACGTCACCAGTAAAGCCATCACTTCCACACCAGAACACAGTTTGCCTATTTAGAGAGAACTTCAGTTTCAATATACATATACAGTAGTCACTTAATAAAGGATACTTTGTAAATCATATAGATTCTCAAAAGTTCGTAATTTAAATTTTCTCTCTAACAGGAAATGTCAACATTCATCTAAGTGGGTTTTGATATTCAGTTTACGCTGTGTGTTTTAGTGTGAAGGTGAGTCGTTAAGATTGGTGAAGATGAGGGTGTCCTTGGTGATCACGATCGCCGGAAGTGTCACAGTCATGTTGACCATCGTCGTCGTGACTCTTGTTGGTGAGATAGTGACTGCTGTTAAATTTTCTCATGTACAGTGTTAGACGATACTTAAGTAACTAATTAATTTTATTATGTTACCGTACTTACGCTTCTTTAGTCACTTACTAAGAGAAAACGGACATCTCAACTGGTGGACTCAACAGTTTCACACATGTTTTGTGGACGGTGGAGCATAATATGAATAATTAGTGTTGAACAGACTAGCCATGCTATTGTGACCATGACAACCAAACCTCCAATTAACACTTTACTTATGCTACTTTCTTCCACTTTTAAATCTGCTTTATTTATTTTTTCTGTGTACAGTGACGCTGAGCCCCAACACAGGAGGAGACAAAGATTACAGGGAGTACCTCCTCAACAGTATTGATCCGAACTCTATTAACAAGTTCCTCAGGTGAGAGAGAGAGAGAGAGAGAAAGAGAGAGAGAGAGAGAGAGAGAGAGAGAGAGAGAGAGAGAGCCTGTACTACATACCTTAACCTGTGCCGATCAGTGGCGAAGAGGATAAAAGTAAGTAAAAGTGCAGTTTCTTCATCCCGTTGGGACCCTTCTGGTGTGCCTATAGTGTTGCTATCCCTGTCTGTCTCCCAGATACTTGTTGTATGTCTCCTGACCAGTTTTCATGGATTTTGTCTTATTCAAGTAAATTTCTAGCGTATATTCCACGCAAAAAGAAGCAGGCTAAGTCACCAAGTGCCTTGACATGAACCCGCTTACTTTCTAGAGATACGTGTTCTGGAATGTAAGTGTAAGTATTATATTAATTTTAACTGTGTTTAAGTCAGAGTTTATGTCTTATGATTATAAGATGACACCATAAGAACTCCTGAATATAAAAAAATAGAAAATATGATAGAAATATTTAAGTTATCCCTTCATGACTTTCTGGTATATGTCATAGAAAATAGTTTTATGGGTAACTAAGAAATTAAGAACGCTATACTATGTATCTGCACAAATTTGCGACATGCCGATAGTTCAGCGAGAGTTTATGACTAATATCAATGCTAACATCTCGGTGCGTCTTAACAAGCAACTTAAGGACATTGTTTGATAGAAGGTAAATACTTTCTTACCCCCATGAAGAGCCCGGTATTTTCTGCCCTGAACACTATTCCACGACCGCAGCTGGACGTGTTCATTAAGTACAGTCGCGGACAAAAGTTCGCTGACACAGACCTGGCCATTGAATCTCTGAGCTTTTGAATCTGAAGTTTCATAAACAAGTTGTTCTGTTTACCAACAAATGGCGCGCTTTTTTTAGTAGTTTTTGGTGTGTGTGTTTCTGTGCGTTCATGTTGAATATTCATGAGAGAATATAATTATTCGGCACTTTTATATTATATCCCCTAAAAATAAACGGATAACATTTAGACAACGATGCAACAATGTTAACATATTTTGTAATAATCTTCACTTGTTTCTCGCAATTCACATCTAACAACAAATTATCCCATTATTGTCTCCTTCTTCTAGAGAGTTGACCTCTAAACCCCATCCGGCTGGGTCAGTCAGAGATCGGGACTTAGCCGTCTCTATACAAGCCAGATGGGAAGGTTTCGGCCTCGAAAACGTCAAGCTAATGGAATACGACGTGTTGTTGTCCAGTCCAGGTGTGCCCAACAAGGTCAGGAGTAGTAGTTATTGTTTAGGGTAAGATTATTAATACCAGATGAACCTTCTGCCTCAGTGTTGCCCAGCTTATATGGCGGGCTGTTTTGGTCATCAGTTCTAGACACTGTAAGTTATTTCGTGATTTTCTCTCATAGTACGTAAATGTTCATAGCTACACTGCACGGTTTAGAGAGACTAACATATTTATCTGATAAGCGGAAAAATAGTAGGAGGAGGAATTTTCTTTCCCCCTCTGTATATCTCTTTTTCTATCTACTTATGTAGTATGTACCTATCATCATTTACTTGTATTCCGTTGTGTACTTCAGTGTACCTGCTCATCTGTGACACTGTCTCTCTTTTTCGACGCAGTTCTCCACCCTTGACTCCGGCGGTAACGTGCTCTTCGAGTCATCCAACACCCAGCCTCCGGTAGACGACCCTCCCCCATACGGCCAGGACGAGATCCTCTCCTTCAACGCCTTCTCTGCTAATGGCATAGTGATAGTGAGTTCTGATATTCCTTCTGGTAGGATGTTGTTTATTGTAATTACTCCGGGTTCCCCTTGTACTGAAACTAGACCTTAAAAGTTCATAAAAAAAGAGAGCAGACCAGCCGAGTAGTAAGTTGGTAGATGGTGAAATGATGAAGTGTCTCTCAATAAAAAATCAGCTTAAAAGTCAGAGACTTCCTTTTATGTGTGTGACACTTTAGATGGAATTTCAGTGGTTAAATAAACCAAATGATTTTATAAATTCGTTCACAACAAAGAATTTTTTATATTAGAAAGCAACAAAGGAGAATATTATAGTCGGCAATAATTATGATTTACATAACGTTAAAATATAATAGAAAACTACCTGTCTCTTGTTCCATTATGACTAAGATAACCGAAGTTGTCTCCCTCCCTGCCCCTTACTACCCTCCTCCCTCCCTCTCTGCCTCCTTCCTTACTTCCCTCCCTGCTCACTTCCTTACCTATCTTCTCCTTCCCTCCCTCCCCGCCTTCCTCCCTTACCCCACCAGAGCGACAAAGTGGTGTACGCTAATTACGGGTCCGAGGAGGACTTCCAGCTCCTCGCCACCTACAACATCTCCGTGAGTGATTCCATCGTCGTCATCCGCTACGGCCAGATCTTCCGCGGTGACAAGGTGTGTGTGTGTGTGTGTGTGTGTGTGTGTGTGTGTGTGTGTGTGTGTGTGTGTGTGTGAATAGTTTTGCTGTGAAAAACTTTTTGATATGTAGTATATGTATAGATCGTCCTCTTTTGGTGAAATTTTATAAGAATTTTGTAATTTTTTGTATTTTGTAGAAATATTTTGGTAACCCCGATACTACTCGTAATTGGTCAAGAGTTAATGATATTAGGAGTAAATGGTCAAAGTTGAACAGTAAATAATTTATAACCACCATGGCCTTCTTCCTTCTAATCTCCTGAAGGTGAGGTTCGCGGAGGCTAGAGGAGCCAACGGGGTCATCCTGTATAGTGACCCCGCTGATGTAGCTCCTGAAGGACCCTCTTTCACCTACCCCAACTCTGTGTATGCTCCTCCGGGGGCCACGCAACTGGGCTCCCTCAGGCTCCAGGGGGACCTTCTTACACCTGGATATCCCGCTATAGGTGAGAACCACACACACACACACACACACACACATACCTGGTTTCTCCGCTATAGATGAAAACCACACACTTGCTAGTCCGCTACAGATGTGTTAACAAACAAAGGAACTAAGAAATGGTGTTTGTCTGTTTTAAGCTGTACATTAAGAATATTTTGTCGGTCACATAACGATGAAGAACACTTACAGTACTTGTTTGACACAACATTTATAACAGTTTCCTATTTGACACGCAGCATGGAAGAATACTTAACATTTTTGACACAACTTCTGAGAACATTATCTCAATGTTCTAGGATTCTCAAAATAACATTAAGCCAATTATCGCCAGAATCTGCTTTCCGTATCCCCATGGAGAAAGCAGACCTACCCAAGATTCCTGTTCAGCCTGTAGGATACCATGACGCCTCGGTCCTCCTGAGGTAGGATATCAAGTTAATGGCCAAAAGTTATTCTATAGTGAAGGTTCGTTAGGTTATAATGTTATCATAATTATCGATCAAAAACTTATCACTTAGCTTTCCAATCTTAGCTTCGTCACCCGGAGCTATTCTAGATTTAGGTCATTAAGTTTCGCGTTCAGTGGCTAATGTCAAATTAAGCTGAAGTTGATTTTTGGGTGCCAGTTATCTTGGCCGTCGATCATTTGTGTGTCGAATAAATAAACCAATATTGAACTATAACAGCTGAGTTTTGATCGGTATAATGTAAGTTTAGGTTAAGTTACATTAAGCTAGGTTAGGTTTGCTTAGATTAAATAAGATTCAGTTAGATTAATATACCTGTAGACCAGATTAATGTTAGTTCGGTCAGGTTAAAGTTGGATAATTTAGCCAAGGTTAGGTTAGGTTAAGTTAGCCTAGATTACATAAAGTTAAGTTTCCTATTTATATTTTTTCCCCATTATATCAAACAGTCTTATTGGTGGTGATACAGCCCCAGCAGCCTGGCGGGGAGGACTCAACCTGACCTACATGGTTGGACCTGATCTACTAGACGGGTCAAAGGTCAAGTTGGAAGTCAACAACTCACTTTCAAGGAAGACAGTACAAGACGTGGTGGGCGTCCTCAAGGGCACAGAGGAGCCTGGTCAGTTTATAAGCTTCGGTTCCTCTCTTTGTATCTCCGGCGTGCGATTGCTGTCTTTAACTGTCTGTCTATTATGTTATATCCATCCATTTTTCTATCTATTAACATGTCACATCATTATCGTTAACTTCCAAATGGCTTCCTTCAGCATCACGTCCATCACTTCAATCTCACTTCACGTTACGTCCCTTACTTCACCCCGCGTCACCCTCACTTCACCCCACCTCACCCTCACTTCACCCCCACACCCTCACTTCACTACCACGCTTCTCACTTCACCCCACGTCCCTCACTTTACCCCACGAGCCTTACTTCACCCTCAAGACCCTCACTTCACCCTCGTCACTTCAGATAGATTCGTGTTGTTGGGGAACCACTACGACGCCTGGGGTTACGGTGGCTTGGATCCATCCTCAGCCACCGCCGCCCTCACCGAGCTAGTCAAGGTCTTCACGCAGATGTACCGCGAGGGGTGGAGGCCAAGAAGGTCAGTGGCGTTCGATTAGGTTAAGTAAGGTGAGGTCTTAGAAAAGGTTTAGGTTAGCTTAGGTTAAGTCAGGTAAGGTTGGGTCGAGAGGGTCCTGGAAAAGGTCAGGTTAGGTCAAGTTAGGTGAGGTCGAGGGTCTTGGAAAAGGAGTGTGAGTGTGGGATAGGGTTTGGAGGTCCATGGAAGAGTTTTATTGGGTGGTAATGAAAATGGGTGTGAAAGTCATGTAATAGAGTCTTAAGTGCGTGGAAAAGGATTGGAATGTCATTGAAGAGGGCCCTAAGAGTTGTGGAAAAGGATTGGAAGGTATAGAAGAGTCTTAAGTCTTGGGAAGATGTCAGGGAAAAAGGATCGGAAGACATTAAATGGACATATTAAAGATTCAGAGTTGTCACGTATTAAAAATTTTTTGAGGAGGGGAAACTTCCGTATGTGTGTGTAAAGCGGATTTATAACAATCCACTTTTTCTCATGGCTAACAGGACTTTGGTCTTCTGCAATTGGGCGGCGGAGGAACCTGGAATCATCGGCTCAACGGAATTTGCCGAACAGTTTAGCGTGAGCTTGAAGGACCGAGCAGTAGTGTACCTCAACGTGGACACGTTGATTGGGGGTAAGAGGGAGAGAGAGAGAGAGCTTCTGTTACTCCATCTCACACAAAACAACCGTTCCTCACACTTGTACTACACACATACTCCATCATGATCTCCCCCCGACAGGTAACTACTCCTTCATGGCCATGGGTGTCCCGATGCTCCACGACATTATCATGGATATGGCCCAGCTGGTGGCCAACCCGGATAAAGAAGAAGTGAAGGTGGGGCGCCCGACTCTGTACGATACTTGGCTGGCACGATACCCTGACGACAGCCCCGGAGGGTCCCGACCACTTGTCCTGCCCTTTGGGTCTGGGAGCGACTACCGGGCGTTCATGTTTTCACTAGGGATTCCCAGCATGGATATGTGCTTCACTGTGGCCCCGGTGTGTTTATGTGTGTGTGTGTGTGTGTGTGTGTTTGCAATCTCCACCTCCAGTTTTGAAGATTAAGAACTGAAATTTGATGTGGAGATATTTATATATTCATACTTTCTCCAGGGTGAAAAAGGTCTTCCTCTGTACCACACGGCCTACGAGACCTACAAACTCAACACACAACTGATGGATCAAGGACTCCTCTTCCACCAAGCCTCGGCCAGGTCAGTTCTCTATTCAGGCATCTATCTCTCTTTATAAATAGATTGCACACACACACATTAACTTAATAACCTCTTTCAAACACAAAAGGACCATAACCCTCCCCAAGAAGGAGCACCTTACAACCCCAACACTCTCCCCCCTACAGGATGTGGGGACTACTGGCTCTCGAGTTCTCCACCAGGAACTTCCTCCCCTTTGGTGTTGTTCCATACGTCGACTTCATCAGTACAGCATGGAAGGATTTTTTGACAACGTATAAGAAGATACTGACAAATCTGGACGTAAAGACAGGTGGGTGATGGTAGTGTTGATGGGGAGGAGTGAGGGAGGTAGAGATGGGGGAGTGAGGGAGGTAAAGATGGGTGAGTGAGGGAGGTAGAGATGGGGGAGTGAGGGAGGTAGAGAAGGGGGAGTGAAGAAGGTAAAGATGGGGGAGTGAGGGAGGTAGAGAAGGGGGAGTGGGGTTGGTAAATAGTTGCTGGAACACGAGGGATGCTATCTCATGTATGACTTAATACAAGTACACTAAGCACCAATTCCTTATCAACCTTGTTTGTTGTAGAATACTTGAAGAAGAGCGTGACTACCTTGCAGGCTGCTGGGGCAGACTTTATGAGTAGACTGAATGATGAAGAAAATCCTGAGTTAGTAATTCTATTTTACATTATTTGTTTCCAGTTATTTTTTTATGGTGATTATAAGATGTGTTGTAATGTTGATTATATTATTTATAAAAAAAATAAATAAATCTAATAATAATAATATTATTATTATTATTATTATTTTTATTATTATTATTACAACCATTATAATTTTTACTATTATTGCTATTGTCGTTGTATTTTTATTGTTGTTATTGTTATTATTATTACTATTATCATCATTATTATCATTATCAGTGACTTGACTATACGACGATACAACGACGCCATGATGTTGCTAGACCGAGCCTTGTTGAGTAGTGACGGTCTACCAGGGAGGCCGACCCTCAAGTGAGTCCCTGTAGTTTGTGGTGTGTCGGTACGAACCTTCTGTATATACTGTGCTAATTCTACATATAGTATGAGTGTGGGTAAGTAGGCAGGAGAGTTGATAAATAAACGTCTTAATAGGGAAGTAAATAGGGACCATAATACTAAATCTTCCTCACATTCACTCTCGCCTCCTCACAGACACGTGTTCCTGGCTCCCAGTGTGACGAACGGGTACGAGTGGGAGACTTTCCCAGGCCTCCGAGACCTATTGAGGGAGGAAAACCCCGACCGCAGGGCCGTGCAGGAGCAAATAGCCATCCTCACTCACCACTTCCTGATGGCAGCTAACGCCCTCACTTTTGACCTGTGGCAGTGAGGGATAAAGGGGGGGGGGGCGGCTACTGCCTAAGAAGTCCCCCGGTTCCTTAAACTTTGACCTGTGTGCCATTGAGGGGAAAGGGAGGCTGCCTTCAGAGTTTCTATATTCCACTAATTTACTCATGAACAAGCGCACACATTCACACATACACACACTCAAATATTATTGTCTTTTACTTTAATAATTAATAGATAAACAGTAATCAAACATTAGATGCATATTGCTAAAATACAGTTACTACTTATATATTACATTAGCATTAGTCACAAGTTTTCTTCATACAAAACTCTTATCATTACTGCTGTATCATATTTATCTATTTGTTTAAAAAATAAAGTGAAAGTTACTTTTAGTTTTGTTTTTACTTTTTAATTTAAATATTAAATAATTATTCATTATACTATTTTGTGACACAGCACATACGTCCTTGTTACTATTAGTGCTGAGTCATGTAAACACAATTTTTTTTTATTTCTGACAAAACGTAAAATATTTTCGGAGTTTCATTTTTTTGGTTTGTTAATATTTACATAATTACTTTGTTGTGCAGTTTAACATATGTGACACACCTGGTTTTCTTAATTAGAATGTTTGCTTTTGCCGTATCTTTGTTGTTGTTGAAATATAGGAATTTCAATACTGTTGTAATTAGAGGAAAACAAATATTTTGGCTCCACCACAACAGTTTATTTTTGGGAGATTGACAATGACAAATTTGTGATATTATTGGTATGGCAACTTATCTACATATTGTCGAGTGAAGGTAATGGGAGGTGATAGTGCAGGTACTGTACGACACACTGAATGAGATGTACTTATTACTACCATGCTATTGTACTACTCCAGATGATACTAAATGTTACATAATACTTCCTTGAGATAAATGTATAGTACTGTATACAGGTATATCAGGTGCCTCAAAGAGAACTCAGGTTCTCAACTGGCTCAGCCATGTTAATATTGTTATTATTATCCACTCTGTATCTGTGTTTTTCTGGCTAAATAAACTGTTACAATTCAATACAATTCAATTCCTTCGATGCATAAGAAGGCAGCGAAACGTCTCAATTTACACTCAATTATGTCCCGGATGAGAGAGTCACGCGCAATAATCACTTCACTATACATTACCATACCGCAGGTCAGTACTAAACGCTGCAAATCCTCAGGTAAGTTTCGCAGGAGTTCACTATATCTGTATTAGGTGATAATATGATGAGTTCAGTCAGTTCAGGTTTATTTACTATAGTGAGTGTTTGACGGGCTTTTCCACCTTCATTACAGAAACTTTGGTATTTTACGATTCACGCTCTTAATAGTTTTCTAGATCTTTATTGAGCACTTTAACATTTTACTCACAACTCTGTATTTAAGTGGCCAGTAGGGAAACTTTGCCAGATCTCATCTCACTTTGGGAGTTTCATTGTCGTAGTCCACCACTAGATGTCTCTGTTAGACGATCAACCACGTTTTTGTAACTGTAATTAGAGGTGAATAAATGAATAACAGTGAAAGAACTGTAAATTTTACTTGCTGTTTACATAATTTCGAGATTAAAAGACCAGTATGGAAAATTTTCTCCAACAAAGCTGTCATGGTGTTGTCTGAATCATGATCTGTAATCGAAATTCGTGAGCAAACTCTTTACCTTCCTCTTTCTCTCACCGTTAATTTATCTTTCTGTTCACCCGTCTCTCTCTCGTTCTCTCTCCCATCACCCTCAATTACCTTAACAAGGTTCGTAATCAGCGGGGTCGAGGTCAACTACCAGCCGTCCGTCAGCACAGGTGGTGTTTTCATTCACCTGGTGGAGGAAGGTGTCACTGAGCACCAGCCAGGCCAGCTCACACCCACACTCCAGAGGGTTTTCTGTCAAGGAACCCCACTCTTAATTACAGGTGAAAAAAGGTGAAATTTGATCCCATAAACTTAACAAGCCAATAAGAACAGTGTGCTTTGGCTAAACTGTATTTAGTACTAATTTTTAGATACTCGAAGGAGACGTCAACTTTTAAAGGGAACTTACTTGAGAGATCAAGTTGGACCTTATACTGGAGGAGCGGCCGCCAAACTGCTTCTTGTATCTCCTTCAGCTGGTTAGAGTGGAGGTCTATGGAGCCTCCTGTGACACCTGTTGGTATAATAATGGAGGATCTTGATTATTTTGATGCTGATAGAAATGAGCATTAATTTTTTTTTACTATTTATTTTTCTTTTTCCTGTTTGTTGTGGGTTTATTAGTTTGTCTGCTTCTTTCTCTATCTTTTTTTCTACCTATTTTTCTACTTTCCTTCCATCTTTCCATCCCTCCATCTCGGTCTCTCTCTCTCTCTCTCTCTTCCAATGAACTACTTCTCTGTTTGCCTGTTTCTATGCCTTTCTCTCTATCAGCCTCTTTTCCTCTCTCTCGCCCCCTCTCTTTTTTTTCTCTCGTTCATTCTCATTCTTTATCTACCCTTCCCACATTCTTCTCCACGGAAAATATTTGAACTCGTCTCACCTAAGAAGGCATCGACTTCCACGCTGCTGATCATGTTGTAGTTGAGGTTGATGTAGGTAGGTGTGGTCACTTCTACGGCGGCCTCTGGGATGTGCTTCAAGAAGTTAAATGAGAGGTCTACTGACTCCAGGTATGGGAGGCCGGAGAATGTACCTGGAGAGGGAGGGAAGAAGTAAGATTGGTAAATAAATGACTAAACAGGAAGATAGACACAAAATAATGGATTTTTCCTCAAGTTTTTCAAATAATGGATTTTTTTCCAATTGATGACTTAAGAATGAACACCAATCGTCACCTAAGTGTCAGCGTGTGGAGATATTTACGATGTGTTAACGATAAGGTTGTAGACTAAAATTCATATAATATTAATTTTGCAAAAGGCAAAAAGAATCTGATGTTTTGGAATGTTTGGTGAGAGGGCGTGTATACTAACAAGATGATCTAACACTAATACCATTGCAATTAACTAAATCGGAGATGCTTACCTGAGGAAATATTCCAGAGCTTCCCCAAGTAAACATTGATGCTGGATACTGAAGGAGTGTTGACGAAGGCCTCAGTTGGCAGGTGATCAAAGGAATTCCCACCCAGAGCCAGAGTCTTCAGGGTGACTGAAGATATATTAGGAAATTCATGAAAATAGTTGAAACGGAGATCAAGAGTCACAAGCTTTGTAAAAGAGGAAATATCATCAAAGGGGAATGATTGTAACTTAGTAGAATAGAAGTTCAAGTAGGTGGCCGTGTGGAAGCTTCCGGATAAGGCGTTCTTCTCCACTACCTCCAGGACGCTCTCAGTGAAGAAGAACTCAGTGTAGGTGGTGTTCCCAAGGGCACCGTCCCTCAGTGTTTGTAGGTAGTAGTTAAATTTGATAGTAAATCTACGGAAGTTGGGGTTGGGGAAGTAAGAACGGAACACGTTGGCTAACTCGTCCTCATATACCACTTTTGAGCAGTCAATGTCCAGAGTGTTGTTGTCGTTCACGCCACACACGCAGGGGAAAATGTCCTCTGGTACTGGACATAAGACATCCTGCTGGTCCTCTACACTGCTCTTGCTTCCTGACGCCACCACACCGTACTGCACAACACCTAGAATAGTAAACAATAAACAGTACAAGTGGGAGCCCTTCATAGTGATGGTGCAGGAGGCTACAGTGATGAAGGTGGGGCGTACAGCCTAACAAGACTCGGTACAACTGTCGTGTGAATACCAACACTTGCTGCTGTGACAACCCGACTCGAGCTGATAGTGAGGTTGATGAACAAAGTATATAAGTTATTCATATCTGATGTTGCAGAACTTCATTTTATAAAGTCATACAACTTCGGTAAATTTGAATTCCCTAATTGTCATTGGTCCTCAGAATAAAACACAAGGACTTTATGTATCATTTATTTATCGCCCACCCTGAATAAACCCTGTATAAACTCTGCATGATCCATAAATATCTACCGTCACACATACTGACTTAGCATCCAGTAATAGTGACTCGTATTACAAACAAACAGTCTATTCCCCTTGAAGAACTTTTACAACAGCGTGTATGGGTTTCTATTTGCAATACTTAACATAAATAACCTTGTATTATAGACTAATGTTGTGTTTGATGGAATAAAAGGCTCACGAGGACACACAATGCTGACTGGTGTTTTGTGTGAGTCGCTGGTTGTGTTGTGTTGTATAGGAAGCCCAGTAACTATAGTGAAAATATATCATAATGTGGACTGAAAAAAAAATTATATGCAGGTGTAAGGCGGAAAGAATTATTAATGAGCTAGGTCGAATTTTATCTCTTGTGGGGCCTCATATGTCCTCTCTCTCTCTATCTATCTCTCTCTCTCTCTCTCTCTGTCTGTCTCTCTCTCTCTTTCTCATTCTTTACCACTCATCAAACATTAGTGTCCACGCAACAATAGCTGCCTTAATTACCACGGGAGGACCACACAATACCTGCTCATCGCCAGCCAATCAGCGGCCACCTAGTGTACCCACTGTCGTCATGCACCATCACTATCTCTACCTATCACTACCTTATCTCTCTCTCCCTACCTACCTATTTACCCAACCATCCAACCGTCTTATCCTGCTCCTGTTATAATACTATTTCTCTTCCCTCTCCTCTACTTCTTCTTCCTCCTCCTCCTCCTCCCCCAAGCTGTTTGTCTGGGAGTCTTGAAGGATAATGTATGAACACTTTCCTGACGTTCTGGATTTTTATCACGTTTTCCGTTTTTGTGGGATCGTGTGAAGATGGTAGGAGGAGGAGGAGGAAGAAGAGGAGGAGAGGCAAAAGGACAAAAATTAACAGGAGGAGAGAATGAAAAACAGGAGAGAGAAGGAGAGAAAAGAGAGGAGGGAGGAGGAATGAAATGAGGGAAGGTGTAAGAGGGGAAGGGTAAATGAAGGGAAGGGAAGTGAGGAAGAAGAAGATGAAGGAAGGGTAAAGAGATAAGGAAGGGGAGGGTAGTCAAAGGGATAGAGATGAAGGAGGGAGGGGGAGGGAGGGAGGAGGGGAGGAGGGAAGGAGAGAGGAGGGAGGGAGGGAGGGAGGAGGGAAGGTGAAGTATGATAAACACACAACATGGTCGTGGTGGTCGTTATCGTCCTCCAGAAAATTATTGTCTGATTTATGGCTGGCAGAAAATTAGTGACAGGGGGAAGGGAGGGGGAGAGAGGGAGGGAGGGAGATGGTTAGGAGGAGGAGAGGAGGGGTTAGTGGCTTGGTAGGGAAGAGGCAAAGGGAAAGGGGCTACCAGGGGCAGAGGGCGAGAGAGAGATAGACTAGGGGATGAGAACCCAAGAAGGGGTGGAGGGGTGAAGAAGGAGAGGAGAGGGGAAAGGGAGATAGGAAGAGAAACTGCTAGGGGAGAGAGAGAGATATTTAGCGCTGGTCACGTTCTTCTGGCGTGAGATTGGCTGTCTATCTTATCTATCTGTCTGCTCCTCCGTCTCTCTACTCAGTTTCGTCTCACCTCCTGTCTTTGTTTAAATACACTTGTTCCTTTTTCTCTCTCTCTCTCTCTCTCTCTCTCTCTCTCTCTCTCATCTCATTCTCTTCTTCCTCCTATTACCATAAATCTACGGGTGTGCACCAGCTCGGAAAATGCATAGGGTCAGAAGAAGCGGTTGTAAGAGGAGAATAAAGAGGAGGAGAACGAACAAGATAAGAGGATGGTGTACTAAAGAGAAGGGGAAGAAACGGGAAGAGATGAGGGCGGAGGGTGAAGAGGAACAAGGAGGAAGAGAGGGGAAGGATAATAAAGGAAGAGAGAATGACGGAGGGCAAAGGGTAAGAAAGAGGAGAGGGGGAAGGAAAATGAAGGAAGGAGCGGGACAGAAGAAGAGGAAGATAAATAAGAGAGGTGGATGGATGATGATGATGATGATGATGATGATGATGATGATGATGATATTGTATGAAAAAAAAATGATAAAAAGAAAGAAGAGGTGGAGGAACGTGATAGATGGAGAAGAGGAAGGGAAGATGGAGACTAGAGAAGAGGTGAAAGGGAGAGAAGAGATAAAGAAAGGTGAAGAAGAGAAAGGAAGAGATGAAATGAGAAGAGGAAGAGGCGAGGGGAGAAAGGCAGAGGGAGGAACACACACAGGTTTCATCTGTATCGTTTCTCACACTAAATAAACTAACAAAAACAATAGCTGGTAACTCATGTCAGCTGATTCTCGTAAACAATGATGGTGTCTTGGTGTCCCCAGCCTTCATACGACACAGGAAAGGGAAACGGTGGATTTTATAGATACGTCAATATAATACAATAGGTAGTGATTGTGTCGCGGTATTGTGGAGACATATTGGTGAAGTTTGGTGTTTATTGTGTGGTGAAGTTTAGGGTCAGATGTTTAGTTTACTTTTTATCCAAACTAACTTATTTATAAAACATCTAATAATTTACGTATGTTTAGCTATATATTTTTGACATGTATATTTATTTGTCTGTTCTATCTATCTATCTATCTATCTATCTATCTATCTATCTATCTATCTATCTATCTATCTATCTATCTTTTTTGTATATATGTCAATTGGCTCAACTATGTCAATATTGTTATTATTTTCCACTTTGTATCTGCATTTTTTCTGGCTAATTAAACTGTTTCAATATCAGTACTTCAAAAAAATCCCTCATGAAGGAAAAACATTTTCAGTAGGGTCAGGAAATCGGATAATAAGCTGACTAAATGCAGCCAGCTAGGAAAAAAAATTATATATTCTAAATAAACAGCAAAAATATCCCTAACGCGATCGATTTAGGGGAAAAAAACTGCGCTGGATTACTACACTGAGCTGGGGAGATATTTGTCCCATCAAAGACTTTTCATCGATTGGTGGATGTTGACAAACAGATCGTGTGGTGACGGCCAGTGAGAATCCGCCTTTCAGAGCTGATTAATTTGATTGGTTCAGTGACTGACGGGTAATGTGGCGTGACCAGACAACCTCCCGCAGGTCTGATGTTCGTTAATGTAGGGGCGAAATGGTCAACCTGGGGAGATATGACGGGAGAGCCACACTAGGGGAGAATATAACAGGGGAGCCACACTAGGGGAGAATATAACAGGGGAGCCACACTAGGGGGAATATAATAGGGGAGCCACATTAGGGGGGATATAACAGGGAGCCACACTAGGGGAGATAAACAGGGAGCCACACTAGGGGGATATAACAGGGAGCCACACTAGGGGAAGAATATACAGGGAGCCACTAGGGGGAGAATAAACAGGAGCCACACTAGGGGGATATAACAGGGGAGCCACACTAGGGGAAGAATATAACAGGGGAGCCACACTAAAGAATATGATAGAGGGCACTTAAGAGAATATAACAGGGAGCCACACTAGGGAAGAATATAACAGGGAGCCACTAGGGAGAATATGATGGGAGAGCCACACTTAAGGGAGAATATAACAGGGAGCCACACTAGGGAAGAATATAACAGGGGAGCTACACTAGGGGGGGATATAACAGGGAGCCACACTAGGGGAAGAATATAACAGGGGAGCTACACTAGGGGAAGAATATAACAGGGGAGCCACACTAGGGGAAGAATATGACAGGAGAGCCACACTTAAGGGAGAATATAACAGGGAGCCACTAGGGGGGAGAATATAACAGGGGAGCCACACTAGGGGAAAGAATATAACTAGGGGAGCCACACTAGGGAGAATATAACAGGGAGCCACACTAGGGGAGAAACAGGGGAGCCACACTAGGGGGAGAATATAACAGGGGAGCCACACTAGGGGGATATAACAGGGAGCCACACTAGGGGATATAACAGGGAGCCACACTAGGGAAGAATATAACAGGGAGCCACACTAGGGAAGAATATAACAGGGCGCCACTGGAGAAAATATAACAGGAGCCACACTAGGAAGAATATAACAGGAGCCACACTAGGGGGGGATATAACAGGGAGCCACCTAGGGGATATAACAGGGAGCCAACACTTAGGGGAGAATATAACAGGGGAGCCACACTAGGGGAAGAATATAACAGGGGAGCTACACTAGGGGAGAATATAACAGGGAGCCACACTAGGGGAGAATATAACAGGGAGCCACACTCTGGGGGAGAATATAACAGGGAGCCACACTAGGGGATATAAAAGGGGAGCCACACTAGGGAAGAATATACAGGGAGCCACACTAGGGGGGATATAACAGGGGAGCCACACTAGGGGAGAATATAACAGGGGAGCCACACTTAGGGGGAAGAATATAACAGGGAGCCACACTAGGGAGGAATATAACAGGAGCCACACTAGGGGGGAATATAAAGATACACTAGGGGAGAATATAACAGGAGCCACTATGGGAGAGAATATAACAGGGAGTCACACTAGGGGAGAATATAACAGGGAGACACACTAGGAAGAATATAACAGACCACACTAGGGGAGAATATAATAGGGGAGCTACTTAGGGGAGAATATGAGGGAGAGCCACACTAGGGGAGAATATAACAGGAGCACACTAGGGGAGAATAACAGGAGCCAAGCACTAGGGGAATATAACAGGGAGCCACACTAGGGGAGAATATAACAGGGAGCCACACTAGGGGAAGAATATAACAGGGGAGCCACACTAGGGAGAATATAATAGGGAGCTACACTAGGGGGGAGAATATAACAGGGGAGCCACACTAGGGGAGAATATACAGGGGAGCGCACTAGGGGAGAATATAACAGGGAGCGCCACTAGGGGAAGAATATA